GTGGCCCCCCGCGCCCGGGCCGGAGCACCGCGGGCGGCTGGGCCCGAACACCCCGTCCCTCCCCTCGGTGTAAAGCCGCTTTCCGGATCGTGCAGGCCTCGGGGCGTCGTTCTTCGTTGCGGAGGGCAGGGGCGCGGGCCGTGGCACCGGGGAAAACGCGGTGGGGCCTGCAGCGCGCGTGCTTCCCGCGGCGGGGCATCGCGGAGCGGCACGCGGGGCGAAAGGCGGCTGCGGGGCCCCGCGAAGGGTCACCGCCCCCCACGGGAGGCTCGGCTCCCTCGCTGTGGGCGGAAAGCGGACCCCGCAGGCCCGTCGCGCGATGCGCACGCGCCCGGACAGCTCTTCCCTGGGCCCCGGGGCCTTTGCTCCGCGGTCGGGCCGGGTGGGGACGCCTGGCGCTCACCCCCGCGGCGGGATCCAGCCGCTCCTGAACTCCACCTTTCCCTCGCCCCTGTCCTCGGCCCGGTGAGGAGCCGCCGCGGCCGAGCGCCCGTTCGCTCGGAGCTCTCGCCCCGCACGGGCTCCCAGGACCGTGAGGAGCGAAGGCCCGCGAGTTCCCGGGCGCTCGGGGCATTCGGCTGGGTTTTCGATGCCTCCCACATCGGACAGGTGCACGAGGACCGATCCCCCCGCCCCCCGGAACAAAACGTGCGGTGAGACCGTGGGGGGCGGACGGCCGGGCGGCGAGACCGAGCCCACGTCCCGCCTCGGACCTGGGCCCGGCCCGCGGCGAGCGGCGTCTTTGCCCAACGAAATCGAGCCCGGGCCGCACGCCGCGGGGGGCGGGTTCGAGTCCAGCTTCGACCACCCGGACTGGTGCCCGGTTCTCCGGCCTCGTGCCAGCCCCGCGGGCCACCCCGTTGGCCAGGGCCCCTTCCCGGGCTGTCCCCCCGCGGGCCGACCCTCGTGGGGGCAGCCCGCGCCCTCGGAAGCGCTGGCCCCGGGCCGCGGAGCGAGGAAACCGCGGTACCCGGGCCTTGGCGCTTCCCACGTCGGGAGCTTCCCGGGAAAAGTCCCCTGCTGGCCCCCACCCCGGGCCGCCGTGCTGCCCTCCGCGGCGGAGGAACCGGGGACCACCGATCTTCCAGCGGTCGCCCTTCCCGCCCCTCGCCAGGTGCACAAACGGGGCTCTGGACAGTGGACAGC